GGCAGTGTCACTGGCCCTCATATGTGGGATCCGAACCGGGGCCCTCTGGCATTCCAAGCCAGTTCTTAACCATCGTGCCACTCGGCAGGCCCCAGAAATCTGGATTTTTACAGACTCTTCTAGAAATTTAAAACCAATGCAATAGTTTTTTTTTTCATTTTGTTTCCCTGTTTATTAAACACATATGGTATACAAGGCATACTTAAATACAGTCATGAACCCCTTAGTGATGGAAATACATTCTGAGAAATCCATCATTAGGCAATTATGTCATTGTATGAGCATCATAGAGTGCACACACACAAGCCTAGTTGGTATAACCTACTACACACCTAGGTTGTATGGTGTAGCCTATGGCTCCTAGGCTACAAGCCTATACAGCATGTTACTGTAATGAATACTGTAGGCAATTGTAACACAATGGTAAATATTCATGTATCTAAACATATCTAAACATAGAAAAGGTACAGTAAAAATATGGTATAAAAGATACAAAATGGCACACCTGTATAAGGCATTTATCATGAATGGAGCCTGCAGAACTGGAAGTTGCTCAGGCAGCTCAGTGAGTGGGTGGAGCATGAATGTGAAGGCCTGGGACATTACTGCACACTGCTGTAGACTTTAAAAACTCTGTACACTTAGGCTCCATTAAATTCACAGAACAACATGAGATTAAATCAAGCACAAGAGAAAATGATGCAATCAAGTGATGTGATAAACGTGAGATGTATGCAGCTATTGCCAGCATAACACGGCATCCTGTTTTATAACAGTGTTTTTATAGGTAGAAAGAGTACACTCTAAGATAATGATAAAAAGTGCAATATAGTAAATACATAAGCCAGTGACAGAGCTGTTTCTTATCATTATCAAGTATTATGTACTGTACATAATTGTACGTAAGATACTCTTACGCTACTGGCAGTGCAGTAGGTTTGTTTACACTGCTGTCACCACAAATACGTTAGTAATGGGTTGCACTATGACTTCACAATAGCTATGGCATCTCTAGGAGATAGCAGTGTTTCAGCTCCATTATAATCTTACAGGACCACCGTCGTGTATACGGTCCATCTTTGACCGAAATACTGCTATGCAGCCTAGGATGGTAGACTGGTTACCTCTCATTTGTCCTTTGAAAGAAAGTTGAATTATTGCATGAATTTTGATTAAACTGATTACAAAATTTTGAAACACAATGGAACTCAAACTAGGGCCAATGCTCATTTCCTAAATGAATATTTTATGTGCAAACAAACAGCTGCTGGAATTCAACAGAATTTAAAACAAGCTGTTTGTAAATTTCACTGACAGCTGTTTTTGGTGATTTTTGTCAACAGAATTTTCCTGCTTTGCATTACAGTATTCTTTTTATTACAGTGTCCCCTCCAAGAACAACTTGCTTGCTTTAATCACGTTTACAGAGATTTATGACTTGATGCTTATTCAGTGGTAGAGTTTCTCAACACAAAATGTCAGTGAGCCTGTTATAAATTGCTTCTGGCATTCCTACTCTATCTTTTATTTGGCTGGAAGTAGTTTCACCTGAAAGTGATAAATTCCTGCTATAACCACTTTATGTGCTTCAGTAATTACACTGTACAGAAAAAGGGGGTTTCTACTGAGGTGTCTCCTTAAAAATAGCAAGCAATAAAAGGCAGCAGAATGGGCTGAACTCTGAAGTCCTCTGAACAAAAAACAACGACCAGTGAAATATCTGTGTCAGACTGAATTTGATAAATGACCAGGAAATACAGAAGATACCAAAAACATTAAAGCCACTGCTGTAGGGACATATTAATGTAACTATATCCTTAGATTGGATACTTTTAATCCTGTGACAGAAATTTGGCAGGTGCCCACAAGAATGGAGTTAACATCCTTTCAAAAACCATCTCAAAGTATCTAGATGTTTCTAGAACTTGGGTAATTTTTCCAGTAAATGCCAAGGTCTACATGACATTGAGACTGTCTTTATGTGCAAGTCAAAGAGACTGCAGCCTGTCAAAACATTTCAGTACAGTCCATTGCTGCCAATAACTCGTCAATACATACATGCACAACTGTACTGATTAAGAAGGGATCCACATTCATCACTGTGGCATCCATAGGTGGTGGGTACTGATTAGTTTGGCCCTACTCTTATTTTGTTTCATATAAGCGGTCTATAGCACACAGGACAAAATTACTGTTTTTAGTTGCCGAGGGTTTTTTTGCTCTTAAAGGAGGAACAAAATGTTATACATAAAAAGTCTCCAAATTATTTGAACAAAATCTATAAAGATTTGCATTATCAGGTCGTAACATTGTGCCAATGATGGTGTTAGGAATCCAGGAAGTATTTTATTTGAGATGATATTAAAAAGAGATTATGATCATTAAACAGAATTCAAGCTTCCTTTCAGAGTTATTGCATCATATTTGCAAAGGAATTGCTACAGCAAGTATGTCTGCTCCAATAGTTACAGAACAGGTGGCTCTTTCCTGCTCAGAACACGTGCTCTTTATTAAAAGAATTTTAAAGCAAATAAACCTGGCTTAATGCAATTCAGCAGTGCTAAAACCAGCACTAAAAATGGGAAAAGGTATTGAGCGTTTATTGTGAGTTAAGCTTTAATGTATGTATTAAAGTTCAGAATAATCCATTGTGAAGGGATTTCCACTGTTGTGCTGTATATTTAGGATAGTTTCATAATTTGTCATTCCTTTCACAACAGCCCTAAGAGGAGGAGGTTGGTATACAATAATCCTAAATTTACAAAAGATGAAACTAAGTTCCAAGATAAACAACAGACCTATGGACGCAGTCATAGGAAACAGCAGGGCTTGGTTTATAATCCAGCTCTCCTTGACGCCAGAGCTCTATGTATTTAATCATTATGCCACACTGGCTTTCAGAAAAAAAATAGCAGAGCTTGATTTTAACTGAAGCCAATGGCGTTGTCACATAGAATGGCTAGCTCAGTCAAATGTAGAGAGCAGTCACCACACTCCTAGATGCTGTGGAGGTTTGTTCCACTCCATCAGTTACTACATTTGATTGCTCTTTATCAATTATTTTCAAGCTGAAGTTTTTTGGGGGAACTCTAGGTTTCTGGCAAGAGATCCTTGCAAAGTTTACATCTGACAAAGACAATGTACTCAAAAAGAGTCCAAGTGGTCGATCCCCTTGTATTACATCATAATTAAAAGAGAAGAATTGTGTGCATGTTGAACTTTGTGAGAAAGCTTCACATTTCGTGGGAGGAGAATCTGTGTTTTATGTTTGTCCCATTTTGCTTGTAATATACGTTTATCTAAGTAAATATGAGGAAGATTTACTACTTTGCAAAACATTTCACAACAGAAGTGGGGGAGGGGAGAAGTAGCATTTAGACTGTTTCCAACAAACCATTATGTTGAGCCTGAAGATTAGGAAAGAGAACCAGGCCACAGATGCCTTGGGGGTATTGTAATCAAAGCAATGAGATAGAGGGCATGGAGAGAGAAGGATGTGTAGACACACGAAAGCAAGCCAATCTGTATGTCCTACACTGGAGTAGGATGAACTATTGGGAAAGAGCCTAAGGTACTTGGAAATATTGTTTAATTGGAAGAGCAGGATTGAAATGGAGCAACAAAACTAAACTTTGATTAACCCAGGAGGGCCTTGCAAGGAAACAAAAAGGGCAATAACATACCATTAAGCCCTTTGTAAAGTGGAGAGAGGACATTGTTAATATCCTAAGCTATGGCTTTACCAAGACCCCGTAGACGGACTCGATTTCCCCCGGGAAGTTTTTCTCTGGGACCAGAGTTCCAGGATTTTACACATTGGAGATGTGCCTTATCCTGGATAGGCTGCCCGTCTTTTACCTGCACACATGTATGTACGCAGGAGAAAGAAATGGCTCTTCAAATTCAGGATCCAGGGCTGAGAATGAAGGTTGGTTCAAACACACACATCCCATCTCCAGTAAAGCCAAGCCTCAGTCTTTAAATCAAACAATTATAATATTTAGTGGAGAAAGTGCAATTAGAAGTGGGACTCTGTGGTTCCTGAAATTCTCAATTTACTCCATTACACATCATAGCATCTCTCCAAGTTTAACATTTTAAATTTTCTAGAGTTTGATTTCTCTGAGGCTTTGCAAAGAGTAAGCAATGACTTAAATGAATTAATAATCAAGGTTTAACTTCTTGGCTATCTCTGAGTTTAAATATATATATTTGGTTAGTTTAGTGTGCTATCATTGGTTAGTCAAAATATTGTATGATCTTATTTAGTTTCACTCATTCTGCTTCTATTAACCAAATATTTATTTGGAAATGTTTCCCACGGCTATCGTGCAGCCTGAAAGACTGGAGGGGACTTGGGTGGACACAGGGATACCAGCTGGAAAGCTATGGGAACAATCCATGTGACGAATAGACAGCTGGGTGTTGTGGAGTGACTATAAAGGGAAGTGGGTAGATTTGAGAGTAAGTTCAGGGGAAAAAAATCAAGTATTTAGCAGTGGATTGATGTGGGAGAGTGAAGGGGAGCTCAACAGATGTTATCTATAAAGTATGGCGATCAATAAAAGAACCTCTTGAGGATAGACACGCTCTTTACAAGAGAAAAAGCTGGGGTGGGGGAGGAAAAATTACTTTCTTAGGAATAAAGAGTGTGCCACTTTCAGTGTCACAAGCGAAACTTTTCTAAGCTCAACAGTAGTCAAAACAGCACTCCTCGGTTTGTGACTTTTCATTGGTTAAGCTGGGCTGAAGGTCCCGACTTTGTTCCAGGAAAGCAAGGACTTATGTTTTCGGTCCGGCTTTTATCTGGGAATAAGGGGGCGTTTTTTGGACGCGTTCCCCCACCGCACACCTTTCAGAGGCCCCGCCTACCGGACTATGGGCGGGCACTTGCGGCTCCACCCCTCCCGGTCCCGCGCGCTGGGGCTTTGGGCGCGTTTCATTGGCCCTGCCCCGCCCCCCCCCGAGCCCCGCCCCCCAGGCGTCCTGCCGCCGGAGACGCGGGAATCACTGGGACCCGGGGCTGGGGGTCGGGTTGCAGGCCTGCGGCGTCTCGGTCGTTGTCTGAGCCCACTCTGTCGCCCGCTCTCCGAGGAGCCTTTCCCGCGAAGGCTGGGCGATGCCGGGGAACCGTCAGCCGAGGGTCCGATCCGGGAACGAGCCTCGCCCCGCACCCGCCATGGAGCCGGCGAGTGGCGGGGCCTGGGCCCACAGCCGCGCCGCGCTCGACAGGCTGGAGAACCTGCTGCGCTGCTCGCGTTGGTAAAGATGGACCTCCAAGGGGGTTGCCGCGAGGGCAGCGGCCAGGGCAGGGGTCTCCCCAGTCTCGGGGTTGCGGGGGATCATTTCAAACCTCAGGTCTCCTGTTTCCGCCCTGCAGTCGGCGGGCGAGCAGAGTTAGTACCTGCCCAGGGATGTGGTGTGTTATCCCCTCCCTGACCCCCATTGACATCCTTTCTGGGTAGCTTCCTAGCCTTTTCTTTCACCAGTCCCAACTAAGATGGTAGTTCTCGAACTTGAGCGGACATGAGTCGTCTAAAGGTGTGGCTAAACTATTCGGATCTCTGGCCCCGCCTCCAGAGTTTGAATCTGTTGGGCCGGGGAGGGGCTAAGCGATCTGCACTTTTTACAGGTCCCCGGATCCTTGTGACAAGCTTATTCCGGACAGAATCTTAACGCCGAGGGCTGCTAAGTTGGAAGCTGCTGTTACTCTTTGCTTAAGTGGCCTCTTTGACCGTTTGTGTCTGTGTTAGCTTTTTGTTTTTTTTGGTCGAGGGTAGTTTTGGGGATCCTTACTGGAGGTAGTTTGAAGATGGCAGTGTGATGGACACTGCCATTCAGTTTCTCATTTCCTTGGTTTGGTCAAAAGACTGTATATGGCTTGAGGTTCCGTCTCTTGGAGATGCTACTTATTATGATTTTTGGGTTCTTATTTTCCTTTATGCTGTTTCACCATGTGAGTCACCTGAGTTCAAGGTTTTCATTCCCTCTGAAGATACCATTTTCCAGACTGGTACTCCTTGCTTCTCCTTTGCCAATAGCTCTTCCTAGTATAGAAACCGAGGAGGTTTTTAAAACCCAACTAGGGCTTGTCTCAGTTTTCATTTCTTCCAAAAGCATTTATTGAGCACATACTGTGTGCACAGCTCATGATTTTTGCTTTAGTATCACTCTGGCAGGTTTTTCTCTGCTTGTAGCTGTCCCCACCATTTTTCTTCTTTGGACTTTGTTTTGATCCCCCCCCCCCCCCAATTTCCAACTTGCAGAACTTGGTTATACACAAAGTATTAAGTAGCAAAGCAGTTTTTTTATTTAAAAATGAAAAGGACTTAACTGTTACAGAGTTTTGCACTTATATTTTGTTTTTGCAAAAACTTTAAAACCTGTGACAAAATGACATCATTGCACCCTTAGAAAAGTGGCACTTTCGTCAGGATGAGTATGTGCTGAGTTATGTGTATGTTTCCGGTAGCACAGGGGTCGTCCATCTGAGAATAAGGAATTTAAAACTAGCTCTGCTAGTTGCTATATTGGAACAATTGTAGTCATACCTGAATAGTCAATTCAACAAAAGTTAGACATGCAGATGGGACATTTCTGTATGGAAGGGACATTCCTGCATGGAAGGCACTAAGGCAGCTGTGTAGCGCTTCACTTAGAGTTAGGCTGCCTGATTTCAGGCTGCAGCTTTGACACTACCGAATGGCTTAAGTCATTCAATCTTACTGTGCCTCAGTTTTCCCATCTGAGTTATGATAGTGCTCAATAATAATTAAATTATTAATTAAATAATTAAAAATAATTTAAGATACTTGAAATTTAATTGAGCACCTACAAAGTGCCAGACACTCACTGTCCTAAGCTTTTGGGATTCATTAGTGAACAAAATGAAATAAAAAAAAAACAACAACCCTTATGCATGTAAAATTCCATGGGAGGGAAGAAACTAAGTGAAATTATGTAAAGTGTTAAGCGTGGTGGTTGTTAGTATAGAAGTGATAAGTAATAGGTGTCTTATAAAAATGCAAAGCAGCATAGTCTGCTTGCTGAATGGCTTTGGGGAGACAATATAGGTGGTTTCTATGAATAATCTGTAGGTTGTCCTGAAATCTAATAAAGCCAGTTTCACTGTGTATCCCCTACCAAAGAGTTTTCTGGTTTCTAACCAAAGTGAGTAGAAAATGAGAGCCAGAGGACTGAGAGTGGACATCAGTAGTTAGGTCTAGCTAGACTTGTAATACAGCTCATCCCTTGGCTGGTGAATGATGCTGAACTCCAGGGATTTTTTTTTGAAAAATTAATAATGAATCACTGATGGATTAACTAAACCTCAGCTGTTTCTTTACATATTTTAACATAGGGCTCTGCAAACTTTTCCTGTAAGGCAGCGGTTCTCAACCTGTGGGTCGCGACCCTTTTGGGGGTCTAATGACCTGTTCACAGGGGTCGCCGGATACTCGTATGTGGGCATATCAGCATGTGGGCCTGGAGGCGGGTAGAGGAACGGTGTCTCGGTTCCTAAGACCATCGAAAATATGTGTTTTCCTATGGTCTTAGGCGATCCCTGTGAAAGGTTGGAAACCGCTGCTGTAAGGGATCATATTGTAAATATTTTAGGCTTTGTTCGCCACAGCTCTTTAACAATATAAAAAAAAAAAAACAAGGCGGTTGGTTAGGTCAGTTGGTTAGAGCACAGTGCTCATAACACCAAGGTTGCCAGTTCGATCCCCACATGGGCCACTGAGTTGCGCCCTCCACAACTAGATTGATTGAAACAACTACTTGACGTGGAGCTGATGGGTCCTGGAAAAACACACTGTTCCCCAATAAAATTAAAAATCAACAACAACAAAAAACAAAACATTTTTAGTTCCACGGGCTGTACAAAAGCAGCCTCCTGGCTTGATTTGGTGCTTAGACAATAGTTAGCCACTCTGTTTTAAGAGGTAAAATGTCTCAAGTTTAAAAATCCTTTTTGGTGTAAAATTTTGTATCACATGGGGTTTAATATTTAGAAATGATTTTGTGTACTCTCTTGGTCTCTGCATGTTTGGCACTGACTAGTGAATAAAGCATGGCCAAGTTGCTCCTTTTCCCATGATGAAAAAAACATTCTTCTCACCCCTGCCTATGCCTCGCAGCTGCCTGACATCATTGGTGGAAAGGAGCAACTCAGCATGGCCTGTCTGCTTCTTGCTTTTGCTACCCACCATTGAAAGCAGTGTCATATTATTGGAGATTGTATGTCGTATGTCCTTTTACAGAGTTTCAGAGTTCTACTCATTGGGCTAGTGATTACCCCGATTACCCTCACATTCAGCTTGCAGCTGTCATCTATCTCGTGTTCCCAGCTGTCACCTGTCTCGTGTAGCACATTGGATCTATTTTGCAGCAAGCATTACTTGCGGGTGAGGGTGGATTGGCTACATTACAGGGCATCCTTTCTTGACCTTTAACATAAGAATGGCTCCGAGGTGAGGCTGATGAAATTGTTCAAGAGGCCAGATGTGACATTTGTGTTAGGCCCAAGCCTCACGACCAGACAGAAGCTATTTAAAGATTTGGTAGAACAGACAGGAAGACTGTATCATTTGAGAGGCTGACAGAAAGCATAGTAATAATGTGTTTCTAAAGGAAGCAGGAAGTGCTAATAGGAGCTGCGTTGTAAAAGCCCAGGTGTCATACGGTACTATTTTGTGAATTAAAATAATTAAGTACCTCTACATACTTTTTTGGGGGGAGGGTTGGCATCTATGACAACTGTTACTTGGGAGTCCTCAGCACCTTTTAAATCAACTTTTAGGAAAAAGTCACTAGTAATCTTGTGATTTTTTTCGAATAGGTGATTTTATTATTCTGAATTCTGTCTTGTCATTTAATAGGCAATCAGGTTTTGAGGCCGCATACATAGCTTAGTGGTAAGAGCATGGATGTTTGGATCCAGGCTTCAAATCCTGACTCATTGAGTTTGGGCAAATTATTTGATTTTTGTATGCTTCTTTTTCTTCATCTGCAAAATGAATTAGTTTCTCCTCTATAAGGTTGTTATGGGAATTAAATGAGTTAATATTTATCAGGTACTTAGAACAGTGCCTGTTAGGGTCTAAGTGCTATGTGAGTGTTTGTAACTTAACACGTTAAGTGCCATGTCAGTCACCGGTGACTGACACCATACTTTCCGTTTGGACCGCATCAGTCACCGGTGACTGACGATATACAATTTAAAAAATTATATTCTTCTATTAGGAAAACTAATTTCACTTGAATCGCTTTCACACGTTTCTTCTACTGACATTGTCACTGTTACGGGTAAAAAAAATTTTTTTAAACTGCACTGGAACACGAACCACAGACAACTGACTGAAGAGAAAGCATATCGGTGAAATCGGATATCACGGGCTAAACCGAAAGGAAGACAAAACAGGCTTGGTGCTTAATGTGTTAAGGGTAGATTTCCTGACTCCAGCATGAAGCTTTGCTTTTCTTCAGGAGTTTCGAGTGTTCAGAGGCATTGGTGTAGGCCAGTGGTCCTCAAGTGGGATTATTCTCTTCGGTTGCCCTGGTACCGGTTGTTCGTTATTCATCAAGCAATCCTGAGGCACCATGTTAGTGGTGATAAGGTGAGACATTTCTTTTCTACCTTTAAGGAGCACATGCTTAATTATAAGGGATAAAATGTACACACAGTTTAGGGTAAATTATGGTGAAGGCCCATGGGATGCAGAGAAGAGTTACTTGGATGAAGCCAGTGGAGGAAAGCTTCATGGGCTTTTGAATTGGGCCTTCGGCAGATTTTTATAGGTGAATGTATGTGGGGGATTATTAGCAAATAATATGCTAAAAAGTATTGAATAAAGGTGGAGAGAGTCAGGTGGGCAGAGAATTAAGACAGGGTCAAATCATAGAGTGATTAGTAGCCTAACAACAGACTACTTATTCATTTGGAACCTCACTTTATTGCACTCCACAGATGTTGCTTGTTGCTTTTTTTTCACAAATTGCAGGCAAGGCAGTCTATCAGCAAAAAGATTACAACTTATTTTATTGTGATACTAAGTTTATTGTGGTAGTCCGGAACCAAACCTGCAATATCTCCGAGATATGCTTGCTTGTATTGGGTTGTCGGAAAAGTCATGACGTATTGTTTTCTATGTTTTTCATTGCAAAAAATGCTTCATGACTTTTCCGACAACCCAATAGTTAATTCCTAAAAAAGCAATTTATGTAACTTTCCTGAGACTGGTGTCCTCATCTATATAAAA